GGAGCAGCCACGTCACCTTTCCCAGCATCCCTGTGCCATCTCCCCTGTGTTATCTATTTCAGCCCCTTGTCACCCTTTTACAGGCAAGAAACAACCCCAAGAGACCACTCCGTGGCAAAGCACCAGGAAAAGGAAAGGGGAGACATTCATACACTTGACAAGGTTTGGCTGGGATGGCTGGGGAGGAAGCAGCAAGAAAAGCATTCAATTTGCTATGTTTGTGACTGGGGACAGGTTTTTCACACTTATTAACGTATCAGTAAATAGGAAATTAACGGTAGCGAATGCACACGTTACCACTGGAATGTCTGTGTTAGAGGAAGCTCAGAGCAGTGAGGATCTCAGGCAGCTTTGCCTCAAATCCCATTCTCAGACTCGGGTTAGGTGTGGAGAACGAGGCTGTTTAACCTCCCAGCACTGAAACCAAGCCCCTGGGAGTACATACATATCCCTTGGGGATGTCTGTGTCCTCGCTGTTCCCAGGGTCGTTCTCCAGGTGCTGCTTGATTTTGTCCTCCAAGCCCACGGCGTCTGCTCCCTGGTACTGGTCGATCCGCACTTTGTTCCGGAAGAACAGGAACGTGGGGGTGGCTGAGATGTTGTTGGTGGCAGCTGTGCCCTGGGGAGCAGGAACCAGTCACTGTTTTCATGACCCTCGAGTCACTCAGCACCTCCCCGTGGTGCTCCAGAGCCACCCAGTCCCGCTCACAACAGCAGCTTGTGGCAGTTTGGCAGGTTTTTCCCAATAATTCCACCAGTATTTGGCTGGGAAGACTCTTTTTAAGTCATGCTGGTGCTACAGCCTGTATTTTAAAGTACTGTATCACTAACACAAGCACTGACAGTCTCTCTGCACACTGCTTAAAGCCCAGCACAGTGGGCACTCCAAGGAAACTCTGCTGACCAGGGTTTTACCCTCACCATTTGGGAGTTTTACACTATGACAACCTGTGCTGCACCAAACACAGCACCCAGCTCTCAGCACCCATCCTCCCATTCCCCCTCCCTCCTCACACCCAGGGTGGGTGTGAGCACCCACCTGGCACTGATGCACGTCCACCTCCAGGAACGTGGCCTGGGGGTACTTGTTGCTCAGGGCATTGAAGGCTGGAGCTATCCTCAGGCAGGGGCCACACCTGTGGGAACAGCAGACACTCCACTTTATTTCCCTGGCACTGCACCTTTACATCCCTCCCTGCTGTCCCAGTGTCCCAGGGGGGCTGTCCAGCCAAGGCTGGCACTAGGACACACCACAAGGTACCAGCTCCCAGTTCAGGCTCCACCTGCAGCACTCCCAGCAGAGTCCTGCTCCATGCACTGCTGCCAAGTGGGCACAGAGCGGTATAAACCAGGGCAAAACCAGCAAAAACCTCTCCTTAGCACAAAACTCTTCCCATTAAAGAGAAACACACCCTTCAGCAGAAAAGAGGTAGGTGAAAAAGTAGTGTCTGCACAGAACTCTCCACATTGAATGGCCACAGCACACCAAACCTTTAGAGGGGTGACAACATTTTTGCCATGACAAACCTCACAGCTCTAACCAGTTATCCTCGTGTTTATTTGGCCCTGGGAGGACAGAGATGATTTCTGATGATTTCTGCTGATTTAGCTGTATCAGCTGGGCTGAAAATGTGCATTTTTTTAGCAGTTCTGTGACAGGAAGTGTCCAGTTGGGATAGTCTCACAACTTGGCTTGCTGGCAAAGAAGAAACTGAAAGTAAAAAAACCAAAACCACCAAAACAACAGAAGATTTCCTAAAAAACCCTGGGCGAGGAAACAGCAAAACTTCATGAGAAAAGATGTTTGGAGATGCTCTGAACGCTGCCTGTGCCCTGTTTTCCAGCACCTTCCTGCCCTGCAGGGGGTTTAAACCAGCACAGCACACCATGGAGCACCCAGGGCTGGAGGGAAAAGAGCATTTTAACCCAAAAAAAGCGAAATAGCGTGCAGCCCAGAACTGGGAGCTGTGGTGCCCCAGAACTGGGAGCTATGGTGCCCCCGAAATGGGAGATGTGGTGAGCCCAGAACTGGGAGCTATGGTACCCCAGAACTGGGAGCTATGGTACCCTAGAACTGGGAGCTGTGGTGCCCCCAGAATGGGAGATGTGGTGAGCCTAGAACTGGGAGCTGTGGTACCCCA